AAAAAAAAACAAAAAAAACAACAAAAACAACGCCCACCAAAAAAACAAAAGAAAAAGAAACAGAAAAAAACAAAAAAAGAAAAAAAAAAAAGCCAAAAAAAAAATTAATAAATACAAAAAAAAAAAAAAAGACATGAATCATTCTATTATCAACATACCGTCAAAACACTGCATAGGTTTGATTGAAGTTCTGAATGTGCAAGACGCTCATCACCACCAACTATTTGATTCTATAGTAAAGAAATGACATTAAAACATTCTTAGATTTAAATGACGATAGGTATAATATATGATATTTTATACTACCTGTGCGGAAATAGTGGCATCAAGTCTATCAAGTATGGTAAATGTCAATTTTTGAATAGTTGGAAAGCAATCCTACAATTACAAAGTTTATGAATTAGATGTATTAAAAATTACTCAAACATTAAAAAGAATTTACGAAATTTTATTGTCGCCGAGTAAAAACAGAAATGGAAGATTATCAACCGAAACTATGCAATTTGCTGCAACAATTTTGAGTATTCCTTATTTTTATGTTGAAAACTACGGCGCAAAGTGAACACGCAACAACTTTTGCTGTAAATATTTACCAATGCGGCCCCTTGCACCAGAATGGAAATGCACTCATAAGCCGATGTTCGCGAGTTAGATTCATTGGTTGACCTTAATGAAAATAACACGCAAAATCGACATTTTACAAACACAAAATAGGATGGATTTATCAGGGAACGTATATATGATGGGAATATTAAAATCAAGATACACAAATATTCTTATAAATACCTCTCTGTAGTCTCCAATAAAGCAGTGATAACACCTTCAAAGTAGGCGGATAAATGATATGTTGGTTGGGACGTTTCCTTGCTACCGAATTGATCAGATAAACTCATTAAAGCCTATAAAAATAAATATAAAAACTTAAGAAAACTTGGTATTAAATGAAAAATCATAAAAAAAAGTAAGATAAAATTTCTCACCCAACAACAATTGGACACAATACGTGGAGAATCCTTTAATCCATAAACCAATGCAGTAATAAGGGGATGAAGGTGAACATCGGGTTTGATGCATTCTATTAAAAGTTCGGAAACACGACCAAGAGTCCATGCTGTTGTGTCTTTGACTTGAGGTGATGGATCTCTCATCATATCAATCAAAACCGGTAAAGCTTGGTTAACTAAGTTCGCAAGTAATTTATGTTCAGGACCTTCTAAGATAGATCCGAAAGCCATAACAGCTGCCTCTCGGAATCTCCAATCGTTATTACGAATATGGTTTTCTACGAAAGGAATTACTGGCGCAACGACGGCATCTTCAACGCATTGGGCCAAGAGAGCTAAGCAAGTACCCGCAGCCATTGAGACGTTCCAGTCATCTTCGTCAGCCTCTTCTTCCTATATAATAATTAAATTCATTGATATCTCATGTAAATGTTAAAAATACACATATATATACGTATGAAAGAAAAAGATATATATACTTGTTTGGTAAGAAGCCAGAGTAATACGGGTAATATTTCAGGCAAGGCTGCTTTTGCAAAATTATGGCTTAAACGGTCAGGCTGTTCACCTGTTTCCTGCGCCTATGTATCCGTTTAAAATTCAATGCTCCTTTCGTAATAACAAAAGTTAATGGCATTTACATACCTCCGCAGCTTCCCCTATTAATTCAAGCTCTTCATCACATACTGTAGACCAAAATTCGACAGCTTGTAAAGCTACCCTTTCATCTTCATGCTTCATTCCAAGGACAGTCAACTATAATAAACGAATAAGATGATAATAATTGATGTTAAGAGAATTTGTACTGAAAATATGAAAATAAAATCAAAAGTTTCTAGTATGCTTACACCAAATAACGCCTTTTCCATATAAAAACGCATTTTATCATAATATATTTGCATGATCCTAACTAAACATTCAAAGGCTGCAACTTGAACATTGACATCAGCACTTTGTGTGGCTTCGCACACAACTTGCATAATATAATTACGTTCTCCCTTAAAAGAATATATATATGTTAAATTACTATTACTATGATAAAAGGTGAGAAATGCAAATGGTTAATTACCTCTCTATCAAAATTCTCTCTAATGAATTCTAATGAGTTATATAGTGCATCAATTGCCGCTTTTCTAACTTCCTGGCTTTATATTATAATTGACATTAATTATTAATTAAGCCTACAAAGTTAAGTTCATGTGATAATATACGCACTTGGGTTCTTCTTTTCTAGCACCCGATACAACAGCGGTGAGTATTGCCCCTGATTGAGCTGCCAAAATATCGGAATCCTTTTATATATAAAAGGAAAAGATTAATAAAACAAATCACAATAATTTCATAAAATTAAATCAACTTACAATTGATTCACAAACAAAGCCAATGGCTGTTAATGTTGCTATTTTGAGTTGACTATTGTCGGTCGTAGTGACATTTTCTAGCAAATTTTTCATTAGATCAGTCCATTGTCCGCTTGGAAGTTCAATGGCTGCAATTGCTGAAACAACCTAAAATATACAAAAACAATTTATAAGCAAGAACTTACAAATGAAAAACGAAAAATTTGAAAATCGCTTACTTGAGCAGCAGTAGCAGCAGCTCTTTGGTCACTTGACGCCAAAGTTGACAACACCTGTTTAATCCCAATATTCAAGTTGTTTTAGTAACGCGATTTTATTCGTTGCACTAATAACTGAACAGAAAGAGATCATCATCGTCACCGCTTGTTTAATTTGCTGCCTTGTTGCCTCATCCATATTTAACCATCTCTGTGTAATTTCATTTCTTCGTGAAGCCTCCTATAAATAATATTAAATTAGCCCGATATTAAGCCATAACAAGCTATAAACATTATTGATAAAACCAGACTTACCGATGACACTAACGAATTCTTTAGAGCCAACCCTGCTGAATTCCGAATAAACGTTTCAGTCTGCTCGTTGGAGAGCTCCTGACAAAGCATCACTACATATGCAGGCTTGTTGATAAAAACAAAAAAAAGAAAACGACCGTTAACTAACGATCAAAAATTCTTTCGCAGTAAATGGTTTGACGCGTTAAGCTTTTCTGGATAATATCTACTGAAAATGCAGAAAATAAATAAATTAAAAATTTACATAATTGGTTTGTTGCGCTTGTTCAAGTTGTCTGGACGCATCTTCACGAGTTTGCTGATCTATAAAACCAACCAAGATGTTGCAAAAAGTATGTTAGTAAAAAACTTAAAAAATTTGAAACTAGATGCTAAGTTGCAGCTTGCTGCGAGTTAAATCAGCTTAAAAGGGTGACGTGCTACAAGGTTCCTACTGCAGAAAATTACCGCCAGAAAGTGTGTTTGCGAGAAGTTCCCCAATACTGAGCATCGTGATGAATAGACTGTTGATGGGTACAAATTAAAGAACGTTTTTTTATTATTCGATTATCCGCTATATCAGTCGCGTGATATATAAATCTAGCCAATTAAATTAATTCCGTTTAATATGTTAAGTCGACGCCTATATAGAAATAAATAATGATAAATAAGAGGCTGTACTAGCTAACAATATCTTTAAAACGTTAATATTGATATATAATTATAAAGGCTAAAAACTCGCCTTTAATAAAATAATTTTCATCCGGAGCGAAGCGGAGGATCTTATATCTTAAAGAAATTGATCGACATGTTTTTTTTTTCCGTCAAGCAATTGACGTTTTGGCCGATTATTTTCTGCGGTCGATTCCATCCATGACCGCTACCCAGTATAACAATGACGAATTACAAATTCTCCGTTGGTTATGTAATTCT